AAGTTTTATCCAAGAATATATAATATAAATGAGTTTAAATCAAAATTAGATAAAAAGTGGCAGTGGAAAAGATTCAAGCTTGAAAAGACCAATACCGGAGCGGACGACAAGACAATAGAAGTTGAGGGGAATGATAGTCCGTAAGGGACTATTATTAAGTTTCCCATACATCACAAGGTAATGTCTATATAGGCCTACAGTAACGTCATTTTGACGGACATGCAATTTTATTCAGGCTATTTAAGATTATACCTGGTATAATAAACTGCAATCTTACTAGACTGGTTAACCATCTTACCTATCAGCAAGCCATCCACCAGGTACCTGTGTTACTATGTAACCGTAGAAAAATGAGGCCAGTATGGACGACTTGGTTTCTGTGCTCCACTCCAGTTCTGCTCGCTATGATAGACAAATTACACAAGCAAAATCTGATTTATCTTCAAATAAAAAAGTCCTTACGTTAACTAACAAATTAGAACAGAGTAAGTATCTTTACTGGTAAATGGTAGTTATTCAATATGTTTAAGGAAGTTATCGGGAGAAAAGAAATTTGTATCATTAATGTTAAAACAAATAATGGTTATTTCAACATTAAGTTGCATGGTCAACAATTCTGGAGCCATGTATGCCATAGTTTTCAATCTTACGTCACTGGAATGCGAGGCTGCCTTCATTTCATTTATACAGGCGACATCTGTCGGCAAGGCGGTTGTAAAATTGGTAATATTTAGGTCTGCTTCAATCACATTTGTCGGCTTCAACATGCAGACGACAGCGACACTGATGTTTACTCGTAAAGAATAAACAACGCCGAACCCAAAGAAACCAATGTACGCCAAAATCCATCTTTGTGAACACAAGACCGGTACGTCCTCTAAATCTGTAAATACAAGACAGTCATATCTAAGAAAATATTGCGAAATACATCATATAGAATAAGAATTAAAAACTGGTGAAAAGTGAATTATATAGTTCATTTTTAAAATCTTATTTTTGATCAAGTATGTCACAAACAATGGTCATAGATAACAATGACTTCATATCTTGCACTTAATCCAAGGAGCGTGCTGGAAAATATTATGAATAAGGCAAAACCTCGATGCGAGGTCTTTGACAGAATTAATTATATATTAACACACTGACTGCACATTTTTTACTACACATTGAGATCTGTACATTTTCGGCGAATAACACACTATTTTTTCGTTTGCAAATGCGGCCATTTCTTTTTTATCCTATCCGTCGTAGATCATAAATTCGCTTAAACGATTAATAATTTCATTTGGACAAAAGGATATCGTGAAACTTAAGCATACCGGAAGTTGATATTGACCCGGCGTCTATGTCTATTTATTCTATATTTTTATTGGCCATAGATTTCCCATTCACGACCCTTATTTAGGACCTTGGTGAAGATAATCCAAGTGACCCATGTCATAAGACTTATTGGCATGAGATGGTTGAATATCATTCTAATGCTTGCATACGAAGGGTCCCATGTCAGAATCGAATGCATCATTGAATACGTAAATGCAGAAATTTAATTACTGAAAATCGCCTTTGCATCGGTCATTTATCAAAATAAACCATTTCAAGCAAATAGTTTATTTATCATTTAGATTACATCAAATTGTTTATGAAGTTGTTGAATGGTGATAAAATGTATTCCTTCGTTGATGCATTGTTTCGCATGCGCGAAATGCTACTTCCGTTTCTATGGAAATATGGTATTGTAAAAAGGTCTATAAGTATTCGGAAAAGTAATCCTTCTTATACCGACGTGTTCTTCGTCTCCCTTCTTGTCTTAACAAAGATACAGTCATCTCTCGCACTGTACAAATACTTTCGTTTTGTTAAATTTATCCTTAACCGTCATTTGTCAGTACAGTATTATTTGACAGATCCTCTAATTTTGCTTTATACTTGTAAATTGAATACACTCCAAGGAAAACTCTTCAATTTTCGAACATGAGATTTTTTAAAGATTTTTTTTATAAATGACTATTTTCGAATGTATAAATAGATACATAAAAATCGTACCTTCTTGTTCTTTGTTATCCTTCATTTCTGCCATAAAATGGAATTAATTTAGAATCTAAAAGTTTGCAGAAATCTGAACATTCGTGTACAAGGCAGAAGGAAACTTATTATTTGTTTCTACGTCCTCATGGTGTATGGTTTGAATATAATCTCAAAATTAAAAAAATAAATTTTTATTTGTTTGGTTTATACACAAGGTGTTTCAGAATGATAAGAAATCTACGTAGATCATATTGTTATGTACCCTTATGTACATTACTCCCAAACAGCATTGATATATATGTGCTAAATGTTTAATTCAAGAACCTGCATAATACTGCACAAAATCCATTAAGTATTTGATATGAACATGTATCGCTAAATTTATATGTGTTCATATGAAGAAAGGACATAAAAAGAATAAATACATTTCAGTTCAGCAATGTGTTTACAAGTATAGCACTGATTAGATTATATATATCAGAACAGAAGAGACCAAAACTAATATATATACTACTGTCGGTGAAAAAAATAGTTTTGTTGATTGATGCGTATATTATATAAAATAATGTTCCAATACAAATATTTTACCTGGGGTAATTATGGGCCCTTAAATTAAACTAATAGCTTATCATGTGTGAACTACAATTTGAAACTGTCTCGACATACTCATGGCTCTAGACACTTAAAGAATTCTAGTGGTGATATGAAATATATAGGACTAACTGTCTGCAGTTTTTTGGGCATAAAGTGTTTGCATTTAATTAAATCCTTGTTAAACGAGAGGATGCAATCCTGATGTGATAATAAGATTTTAATGGATAAATGCGCGTCAATGTGAAAAATTCAATTATCAAACCAATAAACAAAAACGTTTAATACAGGTATTAAAGAACATAAATGCAAACAACATAAAATACCCACATTCAAAATGCCATTGATTTATATAACACAAATTATTCCAATTAACAAAGTCTGTATATAAAAATATATTGAAAACGATTCAATAAGTTTATTCAAATATAAAACAGACACTTTTCTGTCACTGGGCCAACACTCTTGTGTAAAGTAGTCAATTAGAATATATCACTAAACTGTCCTTAAAATAACATCCATATATTGAGATAAATATTTAATATATAAAAGCGTTCGTTGATTGTTTAGTCAATCAAATTAGTAAATTAGTAAAAAAGAATAAAACAATAAATTATAAAGGCATATTTAGATAGAAAAGGGTAATGGAATCATGATAATGAGGAAGAGAAAGTTACACACACGGTCTTAAAAAAAACGAGAAGTGGCACAAATGTATGTGTGTTTGTGGGGGAGGGTGTGGATACCCTCACCACCGGATAGTTTACCATTTGGATGCGCATAAATTCCATTTATATTAAAATGATGACTGAACATTGTGTACTATTTAGAAAGACCGAGTCAGCGTTGAATAATTTTCATTATATAGACGATATTGAATGACTTTAAGTTCAATACTGATTTTTTTTAACGAGTTGATTAAAATTATATTATGCGAGCCGCTAGCGAGCATATTATTTTATTCAACGAGTTCAATAAATTTCGTAATATTTACACGAATTTAACAATCTATTTATCACATACCAAACAAAGACCGTTTAAAGTGAAAAAGAGTCATTTTCATTGACGCGCCAACAATATAACGCAAACATTTAGAGCGTCTCTTTACACTTTGTCTGTATAACGCAAATGACGTCACGTCAAAATATATGCAGGGTCGTGCAACACCATTTTTACAGAGTCTTAAAATCGGCATGGGTATGTGATAAATAGAGGATATTAAATGAGTGTAAATTCAATACTGAATTTTTTGCACGAGTTAAATAAAATTATATTATGCGAGCCTCTGGCGAGCATAATATTATTTTATTCAACGAGTGCAATAAATTCAGTAATGAACTGACACGAATTCAATATTCTATTTATCACATACCCAATACAAAGACCGTTTAAAGTAAAATAAGAGTCGTTATTCATTGACGCGCCTATAGTTTAACGCTAACATTTAGCGCGTCTTTACACTATGTTTGTATAACGCTACTGTAATGACGTCACGTCAAAATATATGCACGGCCGTGCACATTCTCCACGCAGTGATCTCCCCTTAATTCTTCGGATATCAGAATTTCTGATATACTATATTTTTTTCAAAAATTGTATTATCTACTGCTTTTATATATCAGATAAGTTTTCTCATTTATCTAACAATGTTTATGAATAAATAAATAAATAATATGAATATTTAGAAATAATTTTAAAAAATATGAGAATATTTTCTACCGAGACAATATTTTGATATTTTATATTTTTTAGCTTTTGAATTTATTTTTCGTTATTTTGTATACTTTTGATAATTTTTTGATAAACTATATCAAACGTAGGCACTAAAAGTTAAAAATAAAACAGACAGAGAAAAATGACGTTAGATTTTCTATGTAACGGTGGATATTTACATTTGAATTTCGACGTTACGTCATGTGACTTTCATCATCATGTGACATCTTTGAATTCAGTGATTACAATTCTGCCAAGGAAGGGAATCACTGTGAAGAGTTTGGGCCGTGCAATACCATATTTACGGAGTCGCAAAATCGGCATGGGTGTGTGATAATTTATTTTCTGTAATATTTATCTTTTTATTATTATCTTTCGTAAAATTATCGTATTTACCATAAAATCAAACCTTTCTGATATTTTTGTTAAGTATTTATATAACATACAGGATGACGCCTGTTTGGCTGACTGCTTAATTTTTAAACCTGCCGGCACTATTGCCACCCGTTCAAAGCCAGACTGGCCAGCTTGCACTTCTATGCAGTCTGACCAGCCTATAAAATGGTGGCTGACTAACTTCAAACTTTTTATCTGAATTTTATCTAGAATTGTTAATAGAAAGTTCTAAAACATAGAAGCTGGGCTAGTACATTGACAACGACCATCAGGGTAAGTGTTAATTATACATTTTTGAAACAATACCATGTATAAATACAATGTACATATAGCCAATAAAATTTCATTCAGCAAAAAATTAGATTCAAATCTCATTTATTCACTACAAGTCCATCCGTTCTTCGTATAGTTATTGCGATTGAGATGACAAGGGGGTGTGTTCGAGTCCAACTGTTTCCACGACAATGTTTCCTCTCATGAAAACTGATTAGCTCTGATCGAATTGGTCGTACACAGAGACAACCTTGGGATATACGATATGAACATAAACATAATAATGTTTTACTCTTTCATACTCATTATTGCATAAAAGCCCTAAAATTATATCGTTGAACGTTTTCGTCGTTATTCATTCTTGCTGATGAGTGGATGTCGATGTTATCATTAAATAGAGGCGAACAATTAATGACATTAAAAAAAGAAAAGCGTTTTTGAAGGTATGGTTTGAAATATTTAGTGACAAAATGTTGCAAATTACGAATTGTATCTTAAAATGATTTATTATCATGAGAAAACGTAAGTTTTTGTGACTTTTTAAAATGCCGCTTCTCATCGGAAAGTTGGGTTGTTTTCAATAGTAAACCTTGAACAGGGCCAGAAATTTGATAGCAGGCTCCTTTAGATGTTGACTATGAATCCATAACATTGATTTAGTCGAACCAGTTGGAATATGTTAAAAAGATGAATGCTTACCGCCCGTCAATTATGTTATTATACCGACATGTCTAGTACGACTGTCGTGTAATTAGGTTAATTTGAAACCATTTTATAGCAGAGCAATTGCACAATTTAACGGCAACACGCAAAACTGTATGTAATTAAAATTTGCCACAAATACAACAGTCAAATTGTTATAGTTTCGAACTGGAAATATCACTTTTATGTTTAACGCCTGAAAATGATATTTGGTTTTATTTTATTAATATTGTTTTTTTTATTATAATTTATTATTATTGTTTTGTTTTGTTTCTCGTACTAAAATTGCACTTTAAAATACGTTGCATTCTGTTGAATACATTTAAAATATACTGTATTGTTACAATGTACAACTCTAGAAATGAATTGGATGTCTAAACAAATTCTTCGACAGGAAAAAATCAAGGTGACTGACTGTATCACAGAATATTAGTCTGATCTTATTTTTCATATTCGTGTTCAGTACATAACGATTCAAACTTTAAATTCTAAACAAAAAAGTAGAATCAGCCGATTTAAGCTGTAATATATATACATATATACATGATAGCAAATTTTAAAGTTTTCAAAAAGTTACTCCACGACTCTTCTTCAGAATAATAATTTAGTGTCACGATGTAATACATACGACTATACTTTACAGAGTAATATTGTTGTATTCTTTTTAACTCAGCATTAGTTTTCGAGCATTTAAAGAATATCTCTCTTCAAGCTGTATGTTGATCTTGTGTTTCGTTTTCGATAAGATCAGGATACTTACAGTATGCAAATTCCTATCTAAAATATTATAGACTCATAGTTTATGTTGGTCTTGTGTTTCGTTTTGACAAGATCAGGATATGACTAGTATGTAAGGACTCATATATCTAACACACATAGTTATTTTGTGACAAGGAAGAGCAGGGGTAGTTTATAGAATACAACACATACATAATTTTGTAAACATTTAGATATTATTAGAAATGGATTATTAATATACTAAGATATTTCAACATGCAAATGAATGTAAACCTTCTCCGTTGTTGTTTAAAACTTGTTTGAAATTTATTTTTGTACACTGTCTTGTCATATATATATATATATATTGTATTGTGTATCCACACGGGCCATGTGGCCTTATGGAATTTGAAAAAAATAAACTTATCAAAACTTATATCCATGTTTTAGTATTTATTTGCATGATTAGCATTTTTTCTGGTGTCTTAGATATATACATGTACAAAGAGCAACCCGATAAAAACAAAATCTAATGTGTGTCCGGTTTGACATTTATTTTACAATTTAAAAGAATATAAACAACAACACAATTACTATCTGAATCAAATATAATATACATTGTACATTGTTGTATTTGCATTGTACATAGAAAATAGTCAAACTACATACATGTACATTTTTACCCATCTACATTATAAACGGATATATCAGGGGCGGTAACTTGGGTCATATTTTGAGAATACTGAGCACTAGACAAAAACAGTTTCTTTATTTATATGATATCATAAGTTAACGTTGTTGTCCGGTAACTCGGACGTTACTTTATTTTCTTCAGAAGTAACACTTGAGTCCTTTTCCAAACTGGAATTTCCTTTCAATTTGTCTACTGGTATCTCAACCTCGATAATTTCATCTTTTGCCCAGTCCTGAAAAAATTATTAACTGTCTTTAATAATGAATGGTGCACAGTGATATCAATCTGCGTTAGACACGGTGTGAAAAATTCTCCAGCAAGAATCAAAAGAAGAATGCATTCTTTTTTCCCTTAATCCATTTTTCATCAACATCCTATTAAAAAATACGAATTTAATAAAGATAGTTATCTTTTTAGCAAAGAATATTTATCAAAATTAATTGATCTTTGCGATCTTTGATCTTTATGACCGCATCATAGAATCATTTACATTTCTACACAGTTTACGTTTCACAAAGAAAGGAACTATAATATTTTAACGTTTCGAATTACTGGTCCATGGTCCTATAATAAACTAAATATAATGTTATAACTATGTTATTTTAAAAGTCAAAATTGTTAAGCAAAGTTATAGAAACCATTATTTCCGTTCGCTCTTTGGGTTGAATAAACAAGATGAATATTTTAGGCTTATATTCGACAACATTACTTTAATTTTCACAGGGCCCCCTTTTCCAGAGTTTATATTGTAAAAGTATATAACAGAGTATATACCTTTTCTATATAATCATGCCAAAAAGCACTTGAAAAACGAACTTAAAAAGAAAACTAAAAAAAAAACAAAAACAAAGCAATTATTATTGCATTCAATTTTTGCGATACACATGTATATATTTACCATTATCATTCAGAAAGTAAAGGCAGTAAACCTGGAAACATGGGACTACGATAACCATCATTTTGTTTAACATGTTGGGTATATACAATTTAACCACTTAAATTTATACTTAAATACGATTGAGCCAATTTGTATCAAATCAACTTTTATATCATCAGTTAGCAAGCAATTTTCCATTTTTTTAAACACAATATGTTTCATGTCATCATTGTAACATGCTGTTACCTGCATCTCTCCAGATCCAAATATACAAAATATAAGAATACCAAATGCATCAAATCCAGCACAAACATAAAACACGTTCCTCCACTCTTCAGGTGTATTCTGAAACACACACACACATAGAAAATAAGTACATGCATGCGATACAGTAAGTTCAGTCGCTAAGACTGTTTTGATAGTAAATAAGTATGAAATGTCAAGTTTTTATTCCAACATTATGTGAGGCATTCCCCCCATATAATTTGACTTTGATGAGTTTCAAGGTTATTGTACAAAAAAAGCAACAAATCAAGAATAAAATCTTGATTTTGTATGTAAATATACGTTTAACATTTTCCTTCTAACAATTTAATGGAATTATATATTAACTAACTTGGTACCTTGTACTTTGTAATGTACATATTGCATTAATTTTGTTTGTTTGGTTTGGTTTTACGGCACAACAACACAAATACAGATAACATTTCAGCACTTAAATATTGTAGGGAAGTTGTTGGATATACAAATATTAAGGATTATAATATCATATATTATAATATGCATAGTGCTACAATAACTTACATTAGGTGTTAGATATCCGGCAAGCAGTGGTGCGGTCATTCCTGGTATAGTGGCAAATGTGTTCGTTATTCCATACAAAACTCCCGCAAATCTGTAATGAGATACATTTTGCTATATTTATGTACAATGTTATATTATATTTTATGGTGAGATATGAAAATGATATATGGCATAAAACATATATAAATAAGAAGATTAGATTAGAATTAACCAGAGCAGTTAGGTTTGCTTTTGCTGTTGTTGTTTTTGTGATGAAAAGCAAACGAATGTTCGAATATAGTTATTGATCGCTTACCATTTAATGGATCGTATTATAATCTAAAACCCAGCAACTGCCTTTTATGTCAAAAATAGTGTTAAACAGATTTTGGTCTTTAAAAACGACAAAATTACAAGACGTCGATTATTGTCTTATATATAATGAACACGGCTAAATTGTTTTATGCCAAACTGTTCTTACAATGTTAAGTACATCACTCGTTATTTCATTATGAAAAATTTCTAAATGTGTACTACAATAAAGCAAAAGATTATTGCAAAAGAATGCATACTAAGGATCGCAAAAGGTGACATAATATAAAATATAAAGAGATACAAACTTAGGGGCAAGGTCAACATGGTTGACCCCGTAGCCTGACCTACTGACCCCAGTGAACATGACAGCCAAAGACAATAGTCCTACAGCAAGGGTTCGATGCTCACAGTCACAGAAACCAGTTGCTGCTAAACAACCGCCTGCGCCGGCAAATCCTGAATATGGATATTTTTTAAATACAATAGAAAATAAATTTCTGATGTGATGATTTGATAATACAATTATTTAGATTTTTTCATTGGATCTCACATATGTGAATAGGCAAAAATTATTTGCACTTTATCCACTATTTTTTACTTAATTATCTGCATGGCTCCTCACCTTTGAATAAACGGAAAATATTAATAACTAATTGCTATAGGGACCTCTTGTTACTGACAACTAGTGAAGATTATAATATTATGTATAACCAAATCTTCTGTGACAATAAACATTGATATTACAATAACGATGAAATAAAAAAAATATTAAGTATGAGACGATAATTATGCTAAAGTATGGAGGTACCAGATGAAGTCGCCCTCATCACCAACATTATACTTACCAAATGACAGAAAAATTTTCCTAGTTACTGTTGTCGATAGTATTTTACGTGATCGTAGGAGATCTGCAATCTGGCCAGCTATTACTGTCGAGAAAAACATACAGATATACGGCACGGCGGACAGTCCACCATTCTGTAATAAAACATGCAGATATATGGCACTGCAGACAGGACTGCGGACAAGTCACAATTCTGTAATAAAACATACGGATATACGGCACGGTGAACAGGACACCATTCTGTAATAAAACATGCGGATATACGGCACGGTGGACAGGACACCATTCTGTAATAAAACATACGGATATACGGCACTGCGGACAGGACACCATTCTGTAATAAAACATACGGATATACGGCACTGCGGACAGGACACCATTCTGTAGTAAAACGTACAGCTATACGGCACTGCAAACAGTACTCCATCATAGATATACGGCACGGCGGAAAGGCCATCATTCTGTAATAAAACATACAAATATACGGCGCGACAGACAGGCCATCATTCTGTAATAAAAACATACGGTACGGTGGTGAGGCCACCATTATGTAATAAAACATAAGATACACGGTACAGCGAACAGACCATCATTATGTAATAAAACATACAGATATACGGCATAGCAGACAGGCCACCATTCTGTAATAAAAACATACAGACATACGGTACGGCCAGGTACGTATAATAACTTATGTAAGTGCAAGCTATAATATGATAAATACACGTCCAAATTAACTTACCGCCTTTATATCAAATTTGAGAACTTCTTTCATAAATGTTGGAATGTTTGTTAACAGCGTATAATTGGTCCAGTTATTGCACACATGACCTGTCAGACACGCCCAGATACGTGGAGACTTTACTATAGACAGCCATGGGACAGAGGCGCTCTATAAATGAAAAGAACAATTTCCGTGTTTTTTTTTCAGTTGCCATGGTGATAAAGATGAAAAATATCTCAATTTTAGACACGGCTGATGGTTACATAAAGCATATATATAAATTATTGTCCTTTTGGAAATTTAGAGACTTAATGAAAGTGTTATTATATCTATTTGGAGATTTTTATTATCCAAGTTATGACCAATTAAGTTCTTTATATTTCTTACCTTTACAGAACGTTCAATTTAAAAAAACAACAACAAAAAACGGGGCAATCATTGCCGTAAAATTTACGTTATTTTGTTATTAACATACAGGGTTAAATCAAGTTAAATCTATCAAAGCTTGTATAAATAGAATTCTGCTTCAGGCTTTGTGAACGAGTTACTCATAGTCGAATACCCATGGTTGATCAACATGTAACATAACATGTAATCAAATGATAAATGGCCGCATGAATTTGAATTTCAATGACAAAACTCGTCAGCGGGAGTTTTTTTGTCCCACGCTATCTTTTCTACAATCTTTATTAGCTTTTTGTTATTACTTTTAAAAAGAATTAATTTAAACTAAGATTAAAATTATCATCATGTCTACTATGAGAGTTAAAATGAGTCACAATTTATACATACTGTCTTTGCAATAATTTCATACCCGTTTTTCGGTATCAAATTCCACATTTCTTGTTATATATTTGATTTCCTGCGCGTTTATTCTCGGATGTGATGCTGGAGTGTCCGCTGTTATATAAAACCACGCAAGAGACCACAAGATGCCCAGTATACCTTTCACATAAAATATATCATGTGTAGAATTAATGGAAATGTATAACAAAACAAAATTCAGTTCTGCTTCAGACAAAAACAATAACAAAAATGCTAGATGCATAGACATTGTAAAAACAGCCTCAGCTTATAATGCCTTTTATCCCTAATTTTAATAAAAGTATATATGAAATTACACTTAAGCTTTGATCCTTGATAAAAGTTAATTCACGGCAAGAATAAAAGATGCGTCGTGTTTTAATTTCACTCCGATTCGAGCATAATTACAAACAAACGTGTACGCTCTTTAATTGAAACAGATGTGTAAGGAATCATAATAACAAACTGTTCTGTACAGAAAAAGATGCAATTCACAAAGCAATCACAGTTCTGAAACATTGATATACAATGGTAATATAAATTATTTTATGCTTGTTTTAAATGTTTATTAATATGCATTTTATTTACATCATAACCAACTGAAGATCGTCTTTAGACACAAATGTTTGTAGAAATTGATTATGTATATGTCATTTACCAGTCACGTAGAAAATAGATCCCCATCCATTATCAAAGCCGTATGCACACAAGAGACCGGATGTACTAAAGGTCAAAACATTTCCGAGTGTGGTACCTGAAAACAACACAAGTGAGGCGTTTAGACGCGCGGCATCATTGTAACATCCCACGAGATGATGATTTTAAGCTCTAACACCTGGTAAAGAATTTAAAAAACGTCTTTTAAATGATATAATCCATGGTCCTACTTGAACATTGTACCCAGAAACGATTGTTTAATTACGAATAGACACAAACAAGAGCTAGAATGGCTATAAAATGTAACCGATGCAAACGTAAATAAGGTATATATAGAGAAAAACAACAGTACACAAGTATACTATGAAACGTTTTGAGTTCCGGTAGCCGTTATGATTACTCTTCAGATTTACAGAAAAAGCGTCAGTCATCATGCAATTACATGCAGAAGAAAAGGATTATCCCAAACAGTACATCAAATAAATGTGGCTAGAAAAGCCGCAATATCAGTATGAAATTGTCTGCATTTTTATGCTTGTTTATTGAATAAAAAAAAAAAATACATTCGAAATCTATAGAACAATATGTTGTTATTTTGGTCATGTGGCGAATACCGTACCAGACAGAACACAATTGCTTCTGTCTACATTTTATATGACCTTTTCCTACCTGCATAACAAAGTGTCGCCAATTTACTCCTTTCCAACTTCGGTGCCCATCTTCCCCACATCGCATTCATGGCTGGAAAATTAGTCGACTGTTGTGGGCAAAAGAAAGGAAATTGATAAAAGATCAGAATGCAAGATTTTTATATAAAAATAAAATCATTCATACATTGAGATTTACCTGTTTATTAAGAAAGTTTGTCAACACACAGTAAAAGTTTTTTACTTTATAATATGAGGTAACAGAACCAAGTTACAATGAAGCAGAAGGCAGTTTCTGAAAGCTACTTTAAACTCTCCAACAGTAAATCATATGTAACAAAATTGAATAAGTATTTTAGACTTTAATATCAGCTACCAGCTATTATAAACAACAATAGTTACATACTGTAAGTAGACCTATCAGCACTCTGATGGTATAAACAAGGTAGACGCTGGTTCGAGCACACACTGGCATTAGTACAGTCAGTATAGACGACAACAATATCGTCACGAATAAAACACGTTTTCCACCATACCTAAAATTTTGACATACTTAATCACTCATTCACGTATTTCAAAAGGAAATATGTCAATTATTTGTTCAAGTTTGCAGAGTCAAAAGGAACATTTAGAGATTTTAAAGAAAACAAATTTAACAGGAGATCCTTTGGCATGATACTTTTCTGATAACGTGAATGTTAAGGCTATAATCAATGACTACATAGAATAAATCCCAATGATACTAAAATATATTTGTATATCCTCGACTGACTATTATCTGGAACATGGCCTGGTATATTGTAATATCATTGTTATGTCCTAGCTACATTCTACAATATACTGCAAATGTGGGGAAAACTAGAGCAATGTCAAAGTATGCAAAACAAAAATGAACAAAAAATCAGTATCGACTGAGCGAGATCAGATAAATGATGAATAATCCACGGTAATATCAGTTAAATCTAACTTAAAAGTTATAACATCAAAACGTTATAGTTAACGTAAAGTGCCTTAAAGTCGTCATGATCCCATTGTCGTCAGATTTTTGTATTATCGTTTTTCTCTCGCTCGCGTTATCTGGAAGTACCAATGGCGGCTTATTTTGAAAGTTGAATATATTTTCTATTTCATTGATCTGTTCTACGTTGTATATGCAAATAACCACTCCTAAAATACGACCAGAAAAGGCATAGTTGTGTTTGATAGAGAAAGTAAGAGCTGTCGACGATCCAATGTCTTTAGCAGCCACAATGGGCGAATTAAAATTGTAAACACGTGGCCATATGTAAACAGTGGGAAGTAACTCTGTGTCGAATAGGTCATATTTTTTTGGTTTTGTATCTGTAGCTTCCCTACTAAGAAAACACTACCTAGTCTATTAAAAGTAACCTTTAAATTTAATGACGACTTTAAGTACCAGTTGACGAGATTTGGGCATACCTTTTGAAAACTGCCCTCACAACTTAAAGTTATTAATAAGTTGTTGATAAAGCATATAAAGTATGTTGAAATAACATGTGAATTTATTAGGTTCTGTTTATGTAAAGCGTAAATATATAAGTTTAAGATCGAATAATATTTTGTATTATTTGTAACGTATAAAAATATTTATTATATACTTATAAATGAAATATTGAGAAATATTGATGAAATAAAATGCGTATTTTCATTTTCCGTATTTTCACTGTAAAAATTTATTTTTCACTGCAGTGAAACATACTTTCCGTATTTTCACTGGTGTCTTGCCGGACTACTTTCTTTTAAATTCTGCCAGTACACAAAATATAAGGGTAAGTCTTTTAAACTTTAATGTCAAAAAAGAGAAAATGTTTATAATAAACAGAAAATTCAAGTTTTTTTCTATAAATACATGATTTATTTTCATCTTGTGGCATGAAAATTACCATATTTCACTCGTGGCTACCGCCACTCATGAAATATTTATTTTCATACCACTCGATGAAAATAAATCATGTATTTATAGAAAAAACTTGAATATCCTCTATAAATGTGAATTAATAAAAATCAAACTAAAACTTGAAATATATTATGCTAACCATTGCTAATCATGGAGCGGTAAGGCTAAATTACAATTGTAATCACATGATTGTTAGATAAGGCGCGAGTTAGTTTGAAGTCAGTCCTAACAGTCCGCATAGCTCAACCGGTTAGAGCGCGAGACTTGTAATCTCGACATAGTGGATTCGATTCCCGGGCTGGCCAACTAAAATTACTAATCAGTCTTTCGGATGAGACTTCAAATCGAGGTCCCGTTTATGAGTGCTTAAACACTTGGCACGTTAAAGAACCAGGGGAAGCTTCTGGAATAGGGGCATCTTTCTGTATCTGACTCTTGCACTATCCTCCAAAATATGACTAATACTCTTCTGGAGGACTCGCCCATATGGGCAACCGGTGGCAAGTATAAATAAACTCAAATACACACAGAAGTCAGTCAGCTGTCGTCATTTATTCAAGAAACATTGCATGGTACTGTCAGAATGGTGATTGGCCCCGACAAAATTAAACTTAACTAGTAAAAGCAGGACTTATCCCAAATGTTTTTGTTAATGTGCTGGTTGCGCCACCACCACCTTCTTCGTCTAAAGGTAAAAAGAAGAAGCTAGGGAAGGCAAGAGCCTTGACAAGTACAGATGTACAGCAAGAAATTGAAGCAAAGGAAAAGAAGAAACAACAGGATATAAAATTAAAGGAAGAAAGAAAACAGCAATGATTAACCAAGAAGATAATAAAGGAAACGGAATTATTTAGAAAGAAAGGGGAAATGAAGAAGAAAAAAGAACTGAACTGAGAGAAAAGAGAAGAAAAACTTAAAATTCAAATGGAAAAAAGACAACTAAAGTTACGTAGGAAAGTTGAAGCCCAGTCCTTATAGACACACAAGACACAATATCAAAAACATTATTTTTGAAAAAATTACACTGATTTTCTTTTCTCTTCAGGTATAATGAAGAAATTTGTCCTAAGAAACATTCAAGTAGTTGGAATGCACCATTACGGTCGCCGGGAGTTAGATCGACTGGGGTCATACATAGTTGATATCGAGGCTAACAACTCATATGATCCAACCGCCGTGGCAGTAAATGATGGCCAACGTAAAGTCGGCAATCTGAAGCGAGACAGCGGGAAGGCAATTCACGAGGTTATAACCGCCAACAAGTCTAATTCAAGATACTTAATTAGACCTATTGAAGAACTTATAAGGTGCTGTCAAGACGTGTTGGACCTCAACAAACATGTGCTATTGTTTTTAAAATACTTAAAACAGATATTGAGTGTATAACACAAATGTAAATAAGCACAGCATAATATACGCAACAGTAATGGAATTGTCTTCAAAACGTTCAACTTAAAATGTCAAGGTCATGGGTTACTGAGGCTCTTCCGTTCATGCTGGTTTTTCGTTACATTTAAATTTGTTCTTTAAAAACATTTTATATTATTTGTGTTCACTATATTTTGCTGGCTGTATAACATTTAAATATATATAACAACATTTCAATAGTATACGTTTTTGTCAAATGTATTATATCAAACTAGATCTACATATCATTGTTAAGCTTTAAAATTTTCTTTGATATTATTTGTCAAGAGTAATTTGCAATAAATGACATTTTTACTGGTTTTAGATTCAATTTTTTTTTAAGATTTAAACAGTTCTTCATGTTAACAAGATTGTTTTTAAAACATCAGAAAATTTGACGACTTTAGGTCCCCATTGACGACGTTTTGCCTAATGTGTTGACGACTTAAGGATTCATAGGCCCTATGGTAGTCAGTGAGACACCTGTCTGGTTTCCCGTCTTGTATCATAAATGTTATTTATACAGCATGCGTTAATTTTATATCAAAATGGCCAGAAAAGATTCAAGTTTGATTTGATGACACAAGGGAACCAGTGCATTAATATATTTCGTTGTGGCGGCGCGTAAAGTATTCAAAGTTGACGAGTATAGGGCACTTTACGTTACATGTATTACCTATCAGCTATCCATCCGCCGGGTATTTGAGTGAAAATATAGCCGTAGAAAAATGACGCCAAAATGGACGACTTGGTCTCCGGATTCCATTCCAGTTCTGCCCTCTGTAATAAACATTTGTTCTTGTTCAGAAAGATCACCGTTATTACCATACATATCGACTGATCAAACCTTTAAATTTTGATTTACGTAATCGACACGATTATGGTTCAAATTACTTCTTAGTCGAGCGATGGTCTCTCACTCATAAAAAGAACTCAACAGAAGTCCATAAGCGTAAAACATAATATTTGAATTTCTTACATAGTTCAACAGGGGCAAACCAAACAGACGGTTATGCAAAAGTTATTAAAGAAACATATTCAGAAATAAATAGAAAATCGTATTTTTGTGCCACCAATGAAAAGCATTGCAGTCCCTTTAATATTGCTTTAACAGCAGATATTTACTAATTTCTGTCATCGCTTCACAAAAAAGTCATTTTGATGGAGAAAAAATATGAAATATAAGAACATGTTTAAAGGAAAGTCAATAGACTACTATATGAAAAAGTTGCCTTAATATTTGTGTTCGACTTTTATTTTGATACACATAAGAAAGGCAATAATAAAATTTACATCACTAGAATGCGAGGCGGCTTTCATTTCTTCAATACATGCGACATGTGTAGGAATGGCGGTTGTAAAATTGGTGATATTTAAGTCTACTTCCGCTGATGAATGTGTCGGCTTCAACATGCAGACGACAGCGACACTGATGTTGACTCGTAAAGAATAAACAACGCCGAACCCAAGGAAACCAATGTACGCTAAAATCCATCTTTGTGAACATAAGACCGGTATGTCCTCTAAATCTGTACATACAAGAAAGTCATATCTTAGGAAAGACGGACATCTTAGTATAACGAAATACAGCATGCAAAATAAGAAATAACAAGAAATATCTTTAAAAAAGATACCCAGCCGAAGTAAAACTGGTTAGCATGCAAAATTATGTTATTTCTAAGTTTTCAATAGAAAAAGAAATGTTAGCAGTGCTGGCATAACAATGACATAATAATTATTTCTTGTAGCTTAGAAAATGCCCATTTTGTAAACATTGAAATTCCATTATAGCACATTTATATTGATATTTTTTCTAAGTATGACAACTTCTATTTTAGGTGTCTCTTTTAACTTGTTTTACATTTGACTTCATAAATTTTGTAATCATTTACAAATCAACCATAAAGTAAAAGAACTATTCTCATTCTTGTACATTTTATTTTTTTGTATCAGGGGAAAATGTAATACTTTTTGCAAAGTATATCAAAATATAAGAACTTGGTTTCAGAAATATCGAGTGTTATTGTAAAACATGACCTACCTTCTGTGTCTGTCTCCTTATTTTCCTTCATCTTTAAAGCTCAAATATCCACAAACGATAGTGGACTAAAACTGAAAACGTAGCACTCTCGCGTGTTGTAAATGTATGTTCGGTTCTCCGTCCAGATAAGATTTTTATTAGAAAAAGAAGATCGTCGCTTAAAATAACACCCTCAATAAACTGTTAAGATAATTGTTAGATGATTATATGAGAGTCAACGGATTTTCAAAATAAAAGGTATCTTTTGAAGACATAACATTCTGAAGGACTATTGCAACAGTTTTCGTGTAGACATATGCAGAAAATAAATCTTATGTTCATATAACCTTTCACGACTTTGCATGATCTTACAAAATGATAGCAGACACATTGTAGACTTACCAAGGTGGGTTGCCGGAAAGTGGGTTACGAAAACACAATAAAGGAACCTCTACTTAAGGTAAAAAAAACTATCCAAGTTGTTTATAAAAATGAATGAAATTTTGTATTATGAAAGAAAAAACCAAATGAAATTTTTCGAACTTTTTTTTATAAATTATCTACCCTTGAAATATGAAATAAACTTTAGAACAAATAACTCAAAAACTAGACTGTCGGTCCCATTATTTACTTAGTTCTTTTATAGTATTTCAAGATCATAAAAAATCCTACGAAATAGTATTCATTCTGTCTTTCACTCTGTAGGAAAAACTCTAAAAGGTACTCGAAACCAAACAGTTTCACATGAAATCATACAAAATATAATAATAAAAACCTGCATGCTATTAAATAAGTTAAGTCCTACATTTTTCAATTTACATAACTAACGATACAGACGAAATAGCTTTGAGAACAGCGACGGAAGAATCTACGTTGTGTAATTGTGTATTTAATAAAACGGTCAAAATCTACTGATACGACTATTAAGTTATAAAGGGACATCCCATTGATTGTTAATATAACCCTGAGTACAAACTTACTGAAAATAAGGATGATCATTTATATTTAAATTCATAAGTTATATACTTGTTCGCAGTCGTCTACGAGGAATGGAATATTGTTGTCACCTATACTTACATTTCCACCCATATGATAAAACTTTTCTTTGACTATAAGCGGGAAGTCAGATTGTGAAAATTCCTCTTATTGAAACATGACTAGAGTCGCAAGTTCTTCACTTCATGGCCCGGTAGTGCAGGAACTGACGGGAAGAAGACTTGCCTACTATCACCCTCTTTTGCCCCATATGGGGAAGCGGGGTTAAAATGACTGGCATATACAGAATGATGAATAATTGAGGCAGTGACTTTGTAAATTAAATTAAAATAAGTGTCTGCATTTTGAGGACAAAACTATTTAAACTGAGCTTAATGTATGAAAGAACAATATGATGTCGAAAAAATTTCTTATTCTTTGTCATTTATACTAAATGACTTACGATTGTATTATATACGTTGGTTATTTTTACAGTAAAACGAATTACGGAAGGATTCCATCAAATATATATCATATTTTACACAAATAAAACATTACCTTGAAAATATTTTAAAATGTTATAAACTGTATACAAAGTCCGTTAAAGGAATAATAGATATAAATCCATACATCGCTATTTTGATGAAAAGCCCTTTACCGGATGAGGACGACAAAACCTTGAATCATTGGATTCTTAAGATACGTTTCCTGTGGAACTGTGAATTGCGCGTGCCAAACCCTTTGACCCTGGTGAATATATCTGCAAAATGTTTTGGCAATTCATTAAGGCGTAAGATAGACTAAAGAGGAAATATTGCTACTTTCCAATTAATGTTAATGCTGGACAGGATTTGTCCTTTGACCTCGACCTTGAATGTTGGTCTTAAATATAACATATAGTCTACCTATGGTGATGGTCTTTTAGGATCTCTGCATGCATGTGTTTTGGACAAGCTCAGACTCCTGCTTCAATTGAAGATACAAATCGGTTCCTCGTTGAGACCTTGTACCTAGCAATAAATACAAGTCTTCTTGTTGCATCATGTACATCAATTTACTTAAGTCCGGTCATGCTTGTTGAAACAAATTATATACATTTCCAAACATACCAGCACACACATGGACAAGGGTATCACTATATGGCCATACTACTGGGAATAATAAGAAGTCATTAAAGCATTCTTAAAAGCCTAATTACGATTGGTTCATAAGCAGACTTCTCCCCCACAATACTTATAGCTCTCTCTCTCTGAACACAATGAAGCTACATGTAAAATATTTCTGAGGTTGGGTTTTACATCGCACCACCACCGCTTGACTGGCGAATGAAGACCTCGGGTGCTGCCAAAACAAATCTAAAACATTTCGAACAATTCTAAGAGCCCAGGAGGGTGTACAAATGTTTAAAACCACATGATTGTATTTTACAGAACATTTATTTCACTCTAATTACACTTTCAACAAATCAATGTGTCTGCTAACATATATTTCAAGAAAAGAAAATGAATTGTATATAATATATATTACAATGATAAAAATTACACACATAAAAATTCCATCCATGCAAATATTAATCGCTTTTCTATTCCATTTACCATTGTTTAGACAAAGGACAATGGTAAAATACACTTACTACAACCTCTATATATTAATAGATCATTTTTTGTGAGTATCCAACGTAGCTTAAAATAAACTGCCTCTTTCATTTTTACCAATATTTTCATTTCAATTAAACACTTCTTAAACTTTAACCAAGCAATTTTTTTACACTTATTTCAATGAAGTATGTCGCTATATTTATCTAAAATTAACAAGCTAATTAAAAGAATTCTCAAAAGAATCTTTATACTTTTTACTTGTGTTACACATGAAATTAAAGGATATTCATTGTTTTCTGCACATTTTGCAATTCCTGTAACCATATCTTATCTTATCTTATCATTACCTCAACTTTATCTTATCATTACCTCAACTTTATCTTATCATTACCTCAACTTTATCTTATCATTACCTAAATGTTATCTTATTATTACCTCAACTTTATCTTATCATTACCTCAACTTTATCCCATCATTTCCTCCATGTTATCTAATTATTACCTCAATTTTATCTTATCATTATCTCAATCTATCTTATAATTACTTCAACTTTATCTTATCATTACCTCAACTATATCATAACATTACCTCGATCTTTCTTACCATTACCTCAATTTTATCTTATCATTTCCTCACTTTTATCTTAGCATCAACTTTACCCATCTTTTCATCAGCCAACATACAAATATTCATAATTCATTTACAACTATAGCTAAAACAAAGTCATCTACAACACACACTGCAACTTTATAATAATACACTCTAAGTTTAATATCTACCTTTGTTATTTCAAATTTACTATGTTATGTTCCCCTTTTTCCAAGTACCCATTATATTGTACTTTAATTTCTATTTGAACCATACCAATTCTAACAGTGAAGTAAGTAAATGCAAATTTTAGCTTCTTTTTTTTTTTAAATATAATGACTACATATTAAAGTGACTACATGTTTAAGTGATAATGTTACTTTACAAAGAATCAGACTTTGGAAACGTAAAATTTTCTGAACATAAAATAAAATATACAATAAGATGAAAATACCAGAAAATAGCTAGATTTATATGTTATTGTGTAATATATAAGAAGAGAATTGGTTACAAAATCCTTTCACTTGGCATGGCCACAATTTATAAAACAAGATTTAATCAGAAATTTGGTTAACCAAACTACAATATTGTGCATATAATAAAGCAACTATTGATTTCTCTTTTCCTATTTAAAGTGGAAATAAGTTTATCTTTTCTTAACTTGCAACATCTGTTTATAATAATCTACATCAAAATATATCATGAATAATGTATACTAGAGTGGTCTATATGTATACATGCATTTATTTCCTTGAAAAATCATAATGATTCTGATTGAATTATATAATTTGGCACACACACACACAAAATCCTTCTGAAATATCGTTACAATTTTATCAATATATCATTTCAACAATTTGAAGGTACAAATGCCCTTATTTGACTCATATAATAGAGCATGCCCACTTATAATGCTCATGCCTTATTATGTTCATTTCTTTGCACCTAAGCTTCCATAAAAACTGCTTCCCTTATAAAGAATCTTAATATGCCTACTATTGTAAAATTTGTTAATAAACAAGTCTGACCATTTCCCTGTCTAGCAAAATATAACCAAAAACAAACATGTGCGTAGGTAGAGCAGGGTACAGATAGAAAATCAGCTATAAGTTTTAACAATAGCATTAACACTCGGGGCTTATGAGACAAATGAGCCGTGTCATGACAAAACCAACATAGTGGTTTTGCGACCAGCATGGATCCAGAACAAGCCTATGGCTCACCACAAGTCTGATCAGGACATACCTGTTCGGTATACATTTTCATCCTTACGTATAGAGTTCATAAGCGAACACATGGATCTGATTAGACTTGCGGGGATGGCAGTTTTCTGGTCCTGGATCCTTGGTCGCATAACACTAATTATGTTTTGATCGTGAGCGCGCTAAATAAACTATAAGCTATTGATAATTCAATAATTAGATAGAAAAATAATGAGATGACAAGAAAAAGAACGAAAATCAAATGTTTGCTCACACTAAGCTCACATACCTTGTGAGAATATATACAATATTCATATCCCTATACAGTATATATGTACATAAAAATTTCATATGTAATGAAAATAATGGGAGGGAATTTTTAACTTCCTTCCCTTGGTCGATAATAAATAATTATTTTTCATCATCATTAAGCACACATAAAAATAAGCACAAATAAACATATATATAAATATGATAATATTTTAGATATAAATAATGAATGAACAAAAAAAAATAGGTAAAGAATTTTATCTTTCTGCTTTAATAGTACAATGTATAGGTCAAAGGATCGTAAACAATTTAACAAATCATAGAAAAATTATTTAATTTATCCAAAGATAAAGAACATTAAATATATATATATATTAAAGAGTTCAGGTCTAATAATCTGGTTGAAAAATTATAAATAGCTTGCTTTAATCTGAATTAAAAATGCATAAAAATACCAATACAAAAAATATCTTATAACGCAATGCTTGTAACTTGTGATTTGAATCTTAATTTGGCCCTTACATCAAGAACTAGAATATATCTCCCAAAATATTCTAAGACGAAAGTTTATTGAGTCATTTTTTTAATGAAGCAAATTACAAATGAGGAATGAAATAAAAAAAACAAAAATCTAGAAAAAACAATTTGCAACAACTTGCCAGGTACTTTACCTACATGATTAACATCAGGTAAATAGCCACAATTTCTGCCAGAGTTAAATGATTTGTGTTTTGGAAATGAAAATGGTGGAGACCGTAAGTCACACAAAAAATAACATTTGAGCCGCGCCATGACAAAACCAACATAATGGGTTTGCGACCAGCATGGATCCAGACCAGCCTGCACATCCACGCAGTCTGATCAGGATTCCTGCTGTTCGCCTACCCACTCTATTACAAGTAGAGAAACTGATAGCAAACAGCATGGATCCTGATCAGACTGCGCGGATGCACAGGCTGGTCTGGATCCATGATGGTCGCAAACCCATTATGTTGGTTTTGTCGTGACACGGCTCATTTAAATATAAGAGAATCTTTAAATAAAATAAAAATCTAAACTGAATAGAATTTCAAAATAACAAGATTAAGTTACTGGCAAAAAAAAAAATTATTGCCAAAAACTTTTCAGTCAAGTTTAATAACTCAGTTTTCAGGTATTATTGTAAAAGCACATTTATTTAATTAATAAAACATTGATGTCTTATTAAATTCTTAAAGCTCACTTAATTCCTTATTGCACTGTATCATGGGAAAAAAATATTCTATTAAACTGGTAATATAAAATTAAGTTACTATACAAGTTTGTATTTGTCTATCTCAACTTTTGCAAGTTCAGTATCGCACAGGACTGTGAATTGCATTAGTTGTGAGTTGTTAAAGAAAAATTGCAAGACTATACAATAAATCAACTTACTTCAATAATGACACATTTATTATATACCTATGCACATTTTTACTATGTATGTAACTGTCACTTGCAATGTCATTCAAGATCATAAGATATCTTCTTTTTTTGGCTCCTAATTAAGTATGTCATAAAGTTTATATAGCAAAATATGTACAGGGATATAATAAAGTGAAAACATCTATCCAAATGTGCATGCCTAAAGCTGGAATATAACATTTATTAATCAGGTATACCATTTCTTCCTATTCCATTTCTGTAGGGATTTAAAGAAATTCTAAAATTTATTCCCTAACTGGTCAACTTAATCTGAACAGTACAGTCACTTCCTGTTCATATAGTAGAGACATGACCTGAATCATGGTAGTACAGAAGCTTGCTCAACATTACTAAGACATCATGGTCATATAGACGCTTCCTATACATTAAGACACCATGATCTTACAGAAGCTTACTGAAAGTTAATGACAATCATGGTCATGTAGAAGCTTTATAAAATGTGTACAAGACATCATGGTCATTTAAAACCTAATGGATGGAAAATATGCTGGGTTTTTAGAAGCTTATGATGATTAAATGAGTCTTTATAATTCCAAGCTTTTAAATACACACTACAAAAAAATCGATATGTAAATAATCAGTTTCCTCTCCTCAAATTTGTAGCATTTCCCTTTGAGAAAAAAGTTTACAACAAAAAACACAACCCAAATGCAAGATGCTGCTGCAACAATAACAATAATTCAACATATTTTTCTAAACAAATTTCTGATACCACAAGAGCGTTGTGATATATTGATCTCTAAAGTTGATAAACATGTGTCAGTTTTACTGTTAAACCTTTAATAGAAGCAAACTTTGATGCTTACAGTCCTGATTCACTCTTTTACATTCATTTTTAAAGTAAACTTAATTAACAATTTATATTCTAAATCTTCTTCTAATACAATGTCATATCATGTCACAAAATGTCTCACTCAGCGTGCATCATGTCACAATGAGATAAAGACTCTCAAATACATCATGTCACAATTTGCAAAATCATATAACAAACTGCTTCATGTAACAAACTGTATTTGGAAAATCATGTAACCATTCATATAAAGAATTTCATTTGTCACACAATAGTATTCAATGCAACATGTTGAAGTCTGTAATATCATGTTACAATGTTCAAATACCGGTAAATTATGTAACAAATTTTTATAAAGAAAACAAAGCTTGCAGCTTCCTTACACATTCATTTACCAACTACAATTTCCAGAACTTAAAGCTGCATGCCTCCAGATGAGCCAAGATATTTGAAGAAAATCAACCTTGAGAAAACTGTACTAAAATTTTAAGAAAAGTAAAAATTATCACAATTCAAGAAATAATTTGTATGTTAAATAGAATTAATGACTGACTTTGCAGTATATATCACCATATTACTACTTTGTGACTAATTCAGTAAGGACTATTTTTGCATTTTCTGACCTATTTTATGCAATTTTCGTAGATTTGCTGTTTGCAATGTGTAAAATACTTTTTTCTTCACTTGACGATTATTTTTTTTAATACATTGTAAAAATATTGATGAAAGTTATTATGAATCTGGAGGCATGCTGCTTTAACACAAATCACATGATAAGATACTATACTATGACCAACTTCACACATGGAATGCTCAAAGTATAACATATACTTGTATCTTGTTATTTAACTAAAATGGACAGCTGTCGCTTTAAATAACATTCTAAGTAGTTCAATAACTTTGTTTGTTTGTTTGTGTCATTTTACGCCTTTTTCCAACAGTATTTCAGTCATATAGGCGGGTAGTTTCCTAACCTTCGTTCCTGGAGAGTTACACCAGTACTAGACTACCTTCCTCCGCACTAAACTACCAAAGCATCTCCCGGGGATCGAACCCACGCCAGAGAGGTAACTGGTTTAGAAGTCATCCACTCTAACCACTGGACCACGGAGGCGGTAGTTCAATAACAATTATCATTCTGTTTAGATGTTCAAAAATCAAACTGTCATGTTTGTTTTGAAAATTATTGCAAAAAGTAAAGGGCGTTTAATTTTTTTCTAAAATTTGATTTTTCTTGAACATGATCACTGTCAGGCAGCACTTTATAATATCTTTCGATTTGAAAAAAGTGGCAAACTACTCATGGTATCTCTTCAAATACTTGCTGCGGAAGAATTTTCTAATCTTGGAATGTACTGGAAATTTCGCGTTTGGGATGGTGAAAGTTACAAATAACCAAACACATGTTGATCAACACGATATAACAACAAAAGAAGCAGCTAGCCACGCATGAAACATATTATGTTTGTTTTTTTTTCTCTCTCTCTCTAAATATGAAAAATCATTAAATAACAAAATATTAATAAATTCTCACATACATACATTACATTATAATGAAACGAAACTGTTACTAAAAATAAAATGTGTTGGATGAAGTAACTCATTTATGCTGACATTTTCACCGCATAACTTCAAAACCTCGTAAAAATGAACATGGATATAAATGGCGGTAATGAAACGATTGAAAACATGAATTTCTGTGAAAAAACAACATGGGATGGTGGGGGGCGGGATGGGGGGAGGGGAAGATATACCGTGTCTCCCCTACTTTTGGTACATTGTATAATATTTTAATATATACTGATTATACTCGATCTATAACGAACAACATTAAGATAAACTATTAGTCATGTTTATCAGTATTTTATCTTTAACAAAAGAAACAATAAACCCTTCCTTTATACTTGTACTGAACGAATCTCCTAAATAACAATATCAAAAAAAATATATAAAAGAACCCAAATTATGTTGTTATTTTTTTCCTCTATAAAAAGAAAAAGAAACGTAACATTGATTATGCAAAACTTAAATTCAACAACATTATTTTCTTTGAGATATCCAACAAATAAGAAACAAAATTTCATGAAAAAAAATATTTGTTCCAGATTTCAAACAATTATCACAATAAAATAATATCTAGAAGAAACAAGTCTTATTCTGAGATTCCAGTCTTACCATAACAATCAATGTCAAGAAATGATCAACTTTAAAATGAATTTAACTACACTTTTATCATCTATATAGCCATTCATCACCAAGAGTGAAAACAGTGGAGGAAAATTGAAAAAACTTTTTAACGTAAGATTCTAATTGGAATTCTGGTTCCGGCGGTGAACTTTGACCTATATTGCTAAAAATAACTCAACGGGTACTCTTTACTGTAGTTGTATCTTTGGATGCTGGCTTGGAATCATCCCCCCCACTCTGGCTGGACACTACCCATACTGAAAATGAAAATATCATATGACTATAATTTAAAACAAGAAAAGCATGATTATTGAAATGTCACCACATATCAATTTGTATCATAGTTTGTAGACATTTCTATTGAAAATATAAGTTAAATCGTATACCCATACATGCACAGTATGTTTACTGAAGAGCAGGTATTAGTTACCCGCACTCCAGTTACCGCACTGTCTGTTGGGGATACACGATAGAACATGCTAGTTGATTGGCTCACTTTTATCTAGGGTTTACTTACAGTGACAACAGGGAAAAGGATAATGATAGAAAAGTCATATTCAGAAGCTCGTACATTGGTTACTTTTTTCTAGGGTTTTATACTGTGACGACAGAGAGCATGTTTTTTATTTTTGCCTATGATACAAAAGAGACAGATCATAAAAACACTTGACAATCTGATATATAGCCCGGGGGATTGCTCCATAGAACATATCAGATAGCTATGTGTGTCGATGCTCTTTCTATTACTTAGTTTATCATACTTTTCATACAACAAACTCTGGCAAAGGTAGGAAGGAAACACATTATTTTTTTTACAGAACTTCAATACAGAATCATACTCTGGTAACTGCATTTCACAAGTTTTCAAATTTTACATCATATTCAGTTATTACTTTAAAATGTCCCATTACTTAATATTTGGCCAATATAAATCTACTTCATGGCCAGAATATACTTCAAAATATGCAAAATCAATATTATGAAACAAGTTTATTACTGAGTTTTCAATGCTTTAGATAAAAGATTTGGCAACTTATAAATTATATGTATTATAATACAGTATAAAAATGTTTCTCAGTGATATGAATTATATATCATGAGTAGGCAACAAGGTAAAACCAAGTATATCCAGTGTTTCATAAGTAAAACCTGATCGATTCTTAAAATACACAAGAGGGTCATGTTGGCCATAGACTACTCACCTGAGATTCATTGCTAGAAATAAGTCAATTTTTTTCCAGAGTTGTCACATTCTGCCAAGTCATTTTTGATTCCAGCAGTATAATTTATAAACTTTTTTAAAGAGGTCCGCTGGAAAATTGTTCTTGCTAAATATCCAAGCTCTAGACATTCAAGTATCTGAGCAGATTTCCCCCCTATACATCTATAAATAGTATGTAAGCAGAGGCATTAATGACCTGCAAATGTATGAGCATAATCTATATAATTCATGAAGAGGTCCCATAGCAACATAGCTACATCTAAGATTGAGCATTGTAGTTTCAAACAAAAAGACTTGAATGCATTTTCCTACATAAGTTTATAACCCTCCCTGTCTCCCCCCTAGGTACCCTCATGTTGAGAGATATAGGACATCAAGAACTTGAACCGGGAATAAGGAAAACCAAAACTTGTATACTGCAAGCTAGCTGCCGATGTCCTGAATAAAGCCAAAGGGTATGGCCCTTCAAAGCTGGCAAGGACAATGAGGAAGGGTACCAGCAACATAGTATGCAGTGAGGGCTTAAAAGGCAGGGTCCTTGGCTTGCCATAAAAACACAATTTCTGATAAGCATGGTCAAAATCTACCACATAGTTTAAGAGATGTTGTTTTAAGAAATGGCTGATAATCACATACAGACATCATATAAGATCACAAAATCTCACCTCTGAGCACTTTGTGCTCAAGTGAGCTAAACATATATAGACTATCACATGCTAAACTTCTAAAAAAGGAAAGGCACAAAAAATACAAAACCTAACAAAAAATAAAGAAAGACAATAAAAGAATTCAAGTCAGCTACAAAAGAAAGAAGAAGAAAAAAATCGTTCCAATTCAAATTAACTTAGTTAATTTCACCACTTCAACATCTCAAATAAGTTAATATAAATTATATAAAGTTATAATAATTATGTTTTATAATGTCAGTGTAACTGTTCAATGACAATGTATATGGAGATATTTAATTTTTAATTAATCTATTCATTTTTTTTGGTTGGATTTTACGTCGCACTAACACAGTATAGGTCATGATGGCGACTTTCCAGTTTTTATTACAAACTACACACTAAATCTGGACTGTCCTTGATATTTAAACATCTGTTTGGTGTATCAAAAACAAAGAAACTGGGACACCAAGCTACAATGTATACTAAAAAGCCCCCAAAAAGTCTTTGGCTCACATGAGCTTTCAAAGGATAGAACCCCCAAAATGTGAAAGTAGAGAGAATTTACTGCCAAACATCACTCAGGGGTCCATAAATTTATAACAGAGACAACAAAATATTCTATTCTGTGCTGTAGAGAGATAATACAGGAATTAAATTAAAGTTTATAACTCAGAATTAGAATCAGAATTTAACTGCAATAAAAGTATGATAAACACACCATAAAGAAATCTAACACAATAAAATACCAACCAAAAAACACTGAATATTTTTGTCATAAAGTGCTCTTTTCTATTTAAATACAAAATGTTTTACCCTAGCTGTATTTAGATGCTACCCAGGCTGGTTTGAGAGGTAAAAAAAAGAGAGAGAAAAAATAAAATTATACAATTCAGATTAAGCACTGTGAAAGCTTTTTTTTATATATAATAAAGTGAATCTGTTATTTTGCAGTGTTAATAATATGCAATAATAAAAAATATTCATGTCACACCACAACTTGTTCAAATATTAGCTAAATGTATGTTATGCTACAATTCTGACATAGATGACGAAGCTCATTGTATTAGTAAGTGCAGTGACTTCTTATGGAATCAATTACAACATATAATATCAAAGTGCTCTATCTAAATAGTGATCATTTTAACTTATATAATAATTATTTGTATATATAATTCATATAATACATGACTGCATAGGTATCTATAATGTAAATTTAAGGTAAAAAATATATTTAGCATAAATATGATATTACAAAAAAACATGGCTATGGTAATAAAATGAGTATTCATGACATTGTTGTTCCTAATATCACTTAAATTATTATTCTAAATAAAATTATACTATTAGAGAAACATGAGCAGAGGATGAAAATTAACAAGAACAAACACACAGACAGCAACCATTGTTATTCTCAGTGCTAAATAATATAACAAATGTCATGCAGGAATTTGTATTTTCGTATTGGGGTATGATTCAGCTACGTAAAATCCAGGCTAGAGTTATGTGTCTTGTTAAGCGACCTTCAATTACGACCATAGAGATTCACAAGTTTTCAAGTGAATAGCTTTAGCAGCTCTCGAGATGCATGTAAACACTGACCCACTAATTTACAATATGATAAAACAAAGTTTGAGTATTATGACCATCAGGGGCAAGTCGATGTTTCCTTGAGCAAGAAACTTTACATTCATTGCTCAGTACTGGTTGGTTCCAGGAACAGATTCGAAAGTGTGTCTATATGCTTACAGCTTCCTACACAAACTGACATAATTCTGTATGAGCCAAGTCTTATGCTAAATGGTTTTTACAAATGACATAAAATTATGAAGATTTTCAAAATTGAAATACCTTCAACATTTATCGTACTTTTAACTGCATTGATTTATCATTCTAAAGATAAATTGGAACTGACCTGAAACTTATTGTCAAGGATATCCATATTTACTTTGATGAAAATCACTTACAGGGATCAAGACTGTCTAGAGAATTTTCTTCAGCTGAAGACGTTTTAAATACATTTATATTCTTATACTAAAATAATCTTTTCTCCAAATACATGTACCTTACCAAAACCACAGCTAGACATTCATTAGAAAAACATCCAGAAGTAAAAGTTACTTGTTCTGTTCAGTAACAATCTTCCATTCACAATTAGCAATTTTGCAACAATCTATTTTCTAAGTATACCTAAGAGAGTGGAGGCCAAAAATATTACGCTAATAAAGTAGAAAGTTATCCATGAGTAAAGCAAGAGTTAAAGCCCCTGGTCTGCATGCAGTTAGTGCTGATAAGGCTGCATTTTCCCTTATTTGTGAGGATAAAGTTTCACTATTTTTCATCTATACACAGATGTGTGCTACTTTGATGAATTCAGGTTCAGTAAGTATTTTTTTAATAGATTTTTTTTGCAAATTTTTGCATGACATATTCTCCATCACTTATCATCTTGGCATGTATTCACGATAGTGTTGATCACTTATCACCTTAACGGTGAGAAACAAGGGCACACTGTCTATGCTTCCATGGAAACAATATGTTGGTGTTCATGATAGTCAAAAATGTGAAAGCAAAGACACATAATTGTAAGCATTTTGCCCTCAAGAAACATAAACATGACGGTATGGTAGAAGAAAACATTGCCATCTGCAGCATATGTGAAGTTCAAGTTAAGTGCAACGCTTGGGGAACATCAAACATGATCTCTTACAGTTGCCAACATCACTCAAATATCTACACCAACTTATTGGAGTGTATAGTGACTACAGCCTGTGTTCTTGAGAAAATGGGTTTTAAATGAAATTCTAGGCGATGTTATTTTCACACATGTTGAACCCTCAAAATCTGTGCAGAAAGATTTGGCAGAAATGGAGGTACATAACTGCCATTAATGCTTGTTAAAGTGTTGGACATGTTGAAAAATTTAAACAGCTTTGTGTGAAATAAACAGACAGAATTGGGTATTTAAACCCTATTTCTTTGATAGTACATTTGTGAGAGTGGTGGATTTTTTTCCATATAACTCCAGTCTATGAAAATGTATTGTTGTTGTTTTTGTTTTATGTTCATAAAACTGTTTTTAGTCACATCAGACTTCTATTGACTTATTAAATAAATTAAGTTATGCTGAAAATTTCAGTATTGTGTTTAATGGCCAAGCCATGTAAAGCATATACTGGGTTAACATTTACAACAATTAAAATCTGTGGTATACTATGGTCAATTATAAAAACAATCATGTTTTTCCCCCTGGTGATACCCAACTCCATGATTAACTAGAGTTACATCCCCTGTTTGAATAATCTTTATATGGGTAAAACTAGAGTTACAGATCTTTAACTGAAAAGTGTTAAAGTGGGTAAAACTAAAGTCAGTTCCCTGTCTGAATTGTGTTAATATGGACAAAACTGGAGTCACAGTCCTTGTCTGAAAAGGCTTGAATGAGTAAAATGAGTAACAGCCCTTGTCTGAGAAAACGTTTGAATGGGTAAAAACAAGAGTTACAGCCCTTGTCTGAGAAAATGTTTGAATGGGTAAAAAAAGAGTTACAGCCCTTGTCTAAAAAAATTTTTGAATGGGTAAAACAGAGTCACACTCCCTGTCTGTATAATGTATATATATGGGTAAAACTGTAGTTACAGCCCTTATCCGAAAAAGGTTTGAATGGGTCAACTAAAATGACAGCCTCCATCTGAACAATGTTAATATGGGTAAAACTAGAGTTGCATCCCCTGTCATTAGTTTTAATATGGGTAAAACTAGAGTTACATCCCTTGTCAGTATAGTGTTAATATGGGTAAAACTAGAGTCAAAGCTCTTGTCTGTGTAAACTTACCAATGATTATCACAATTATAACAACAATGATTCCTATTAGGATTAGCCACATCTGAAAAACAAATTATAATGGTGCACAATACAATAAAATCAAAAGCAAATAAATCAACTGAAATGAAACAAAAATGTGATACAGAAATTACTACAATAACAACTAGAAATAAACAAAAGGTGTTTTCTTCACATCAAATCAAACTCATCTGGCTTTTCTTTCAGTTTGAGAAAGTTCAAAGAACTAAGCACTTCACTTTTATTTCATTATATAATATCCTAGTGAAAGATCTAAATATGTGAACCAGTCTTTTCAAAGATGCCATGCTATTGGTCAATCTAAAGATAGATTTAAGAATCAGCCAATCATGTAGAAGAAAATCAGACTGGTACCATTTATTTCATTTTCTTTTGTTTTGAAAAAGCCGTTCAGTTAGCACATCACATTTATTTCATATGGTGACAATATATTCATTGGTTTTAAAATAAGTCAATAATATCCTGCAATCTGTATCTGAGGTGTAATTAAATCCATTCATAGCCACTGCATTATATTTGTTTACTAAAAGTAATCATGAAAGATTACATACAATACAGAGCTTAGTAATGTAAATTAAGTTGCTAGAAGTAATTCACTGAGGGCTACAACCCCCAGGAAGTTAAACATAACAGTTGCTTGCTGTAATAACATTCATAAATGTTCTTCTTAAAAAAAAAAAAATGCCTGTCATAATAAAAATTAGACCCAATTACATATCTAAACAGTACATGTATCTTAAAACCAATGAGTTTATTACAGTTATAACTTGATATGACATACAACACTAAAATAACATAATGTAAAATAAAATTGTGTGCTGGAAATATAAACCGAGGAATATAATAGGTCTCTGGCACTGTATAGATATAGATGACAACAATATTGACAAGACTACATCACCTTACCTATAATTATAACAACTATAACTCCAACAATTCCTCCCATAATTAACATCATCTAAAACATCAGCAAGTTTACAAATTATTTCATAATACTACATGTTCATAACTTAGTTGTGGGTCATATAAGAGTGACAGCCTCTATCTGAACAATGTTAGTTAAACTAGAGTTACGGCCCCTGTCTGTATAGTGTTAATATGAGTTAAACTAGAGTTACAGCTCTTGTCTGCATGTTTCTGACCTTGATTTTCATTGGTCAATTGTGACATTCATATAATCTATATATGGCCAGCTGAATATTTATTTTAATGATTAATTTTTTTCTTCAAATTTTGTAATAACAGTATAGAATCGAATCAGACAGCAAAGATATGTAGGCTGGCCTGCCTCTTTATTGTAAAATCAATTGTCCATATTGCCCTGGTTGTCCAAAAACATGAGCGGACAAGAGGTAATTTTCAAGAATTTACTACATAAATATCATACGGACAAGTTAAGAAATGCTTCAGATAAATACAATCAAATAAGTCAAAATCAGATTTTGCCCTAAAACTGTATACTGCAATTCACTAAATTCCACTATGGTAACGGTAATACACTTATAAGATGAGCAGTAAAAAGAGGGTAAATTACCTCGATTGACAGCTCTAATTTACAGAAGAAATTCACAAAATTCTCAGCAGCCAATTATCTATTATTAATAATAGTGTTGTAAAAATATTATGTGATATCTATACCTTGCAATTTTTCCACCAAAACTTTCGTTTCAGTTTTCCAGCACTTGCCTCAAATTGTGATGCACCAGCTTGCAGTGCGTCTGAAACAATCAAAGAAAAATCAAATCTGATTACATACAGATAATATTCATAAGTCTTCATAAAGTACACATTGTTAGGTTTGTATCATAATATCAAATTTACTTAATGCTGTAGTAGGCCATGGCAGAATCCCAAAATTTGTGTAACTTATTAAAATCCAAAGAAAGTCATTTCATAGCAGCTTGTAAATTTCTATGATATGTTTCTTTGACGAAAAGAAAGGACAAAATACCTACTAGGAATTGGCAGCTCAATGAAACACTCTTAATTATTAGCCCTTAAAGTCACATGCCTCCTTATGAGACAAAATATTTCAGATATTTAAACTTGTGAAAAAATTGCTTAAGATTTTAAGAAAAGCTGAATGATTTAAGATTTAAGTGATTGTTTACATGTTATGTGAAGCTATTTTTGCTTACTTTTGGTAATAAACATGGATAGCAGATGTTGTTTGCAATGTGTAGATTATGTGCATTTATAGCAAACTTAACAACTTGGGACAAGGGTATTGGATGCAACACATCATCTTGATGTGGTAGACATTTCTGCCCAGTTATTATTGGAGGTAGGAACATGGGTCTTACACACAACACATCATCTTGATGTGGTAGACATTTGTGCAAAGTTGTTTTTAAACTCTTCAAAGCATGACAAAGTTATAGTCCGGACATGAATATGTGTACCTATAATCTCTAATTGTGATAGCGTGAACCTTCAAAGTATAAGTGTTACTTTGACCTTTGAAGAAGGAACCTGGTTCTTGGATGTGGCAGAATGTTGTCCTGAGATAGACATTTGTGCCAAGTTATTTCAAAATCCCTCAATGCATGGCAAAGTTACAGTTTGGACACGTAAGAAGTGGGGACGCACAGACGGACGTTCCAATTAAATGGACTGAGGGGCCATTTCTTTTGTTATTTTCTTTTGTTTAATAGAGGGCCATGGCCCCTCATTCTATTGTTAGGGAATGAACTCTGTTTTTCTCGTTTGTTCTGTTTACAGTTACATTGCCCCCTACTTCTCTTAAATAGCACGATCAGACAGAGTTATGCTGCGGAAACCAACTAACTGACAGACGGACAGATGTCCGGCCAAATTGGAATAAGGGGCCCTTACTCTTTTGTTAAAGAATGAACTCTATTGTTCTCCTTTGTTCTGTTTACAGTGAGATGGCCCTCTAACCCTATTCGGTAGTGCGGACAGACAGACAGACTGCTGGACAGACACCAGGGTGTATAACATAATATGTCCGAAATTCCTTTGGGCATATAAAAATACCTTTAGCACAATAAAGCGAATTGGTCAAGAATGGAAATAATAATTATGTTGATTTAGAAATGCATATAAGAATATCCAAATGAGACATTTCAAAATGTGCCAATTGTAAACCAATATGCTTTATCCACATTTTGCAATCTGATACTGATTTTTCTATTTGACTAGTTAAGGAACATATTGTTATCATAGTGCAGTAACAGGTTAACTCCTATTAAATTTCAATGGAAATAAACCTGTAACTGCACTAAGATGACCATCTGTGAAACCTGACTAGGTTATATACTGTTGCTTTATCAATTCTAGAAGATTTCAAAATTGGCAGCTCAAATTCAAACCAGAACAGAAGGTCTACAAACTTACTGAATCCAGAAGTTTTGAAAGAATCTGTACTTTCATCAGGTAACACAAATATCTGAATAAAGCATGCGTGTTTCCATTTTTAATGAAGTCCATTTCAAAGTTTGGAGAGTACAAACCTGCTCTGTCGTCCAGTTCAGATATTTTCTGATCTCTTTCTAGAACCTTGTCAACATTTACCCGCATAATATCCACAACCTGAAAACAAATATTACGGAGATTAAAACCTAAACATTGGCATTACATTAATTGGTTTCTCCCTTCATTAACACTGATCTTTTTTTTTTAATTGGTGGAAAAAGACCTCAGTTGCCCCTCCATGCATTAACCTGGGCACAAGTGTGCACCTGAGTAGAAACATTGACTTCCTGGTAGCTGGATAGCTTCTTCAAGTAATACTTCAAAGTCCCTGGAGGAATTTGAGACAACAGCAGTGTGTGGCAAGTGGTTGAATGTCAATGACCACGGATTTACACGGACAACATATACTATAACTTGGTTAGAAAATACATCATGGAGCAGCTTTTGTCATTATATTAACCCCTGCCATGATGAATATCATGAATGGACTTGTCCATCTTTCAGTCTGTACACATACCATACATCATTTTTAGGGAAAATTCAAAATAAGTACTGGCAGAATAGGGAACAGTGCAGACCATGATCAGATCAGCTTATCTTTGCCTGCACTTCATGTCATTGGTAGACAGCAGGCTGAGGGGTTTAGAACATGAAATGAATTACAGGACATTGTTAGCTTGACAGGGTTTCATTCAGATACACTACTGAAAATAATCTTAACATTTTCTTGTTAACTGTCCATCTAATTCTTCATGAGATTTTTTTGGCCACAAAGATATTTTCTAAAGCAATTTAGAGTCGCATTTCAAACACACCAGAATCAAAAGTGAAATTTCATGTATCATGAAATGACATTCAAAAAATGTAATTCACCACAGAGTCATACAATAAATACCCCTTAAAATACATAGTTTGTGTTTTCAAGCTAACTACAAAAATGAGCTGTAAGATTTATAGAATGGGTGACATATAAATATGAGACCTTTCTAGGAAAATTACTTCAAAACTACATAATTGCTCTTATACGAGAATACAATGTGTTTTCTGTCCTTTCGTTGCCATGGATATTAAAATTATGTCTGAAGATATGATTTTGTGGTTTTATACACAATACTGGATATGTTTAAACACACTACAAATAAAACTTGGATACAACATATAACATTTTTCTTATTATAATTTGCCATCAGTACCACCATGTACATTGTATTGTTCAAAATTCAATGCTGTGCAAAATATTAGCCCTAGACACAAAATTTGTAGTGTAAAGTTAGTGTTTTGTATGAAAATAATTTGAGCCGTGCCATGACAAAACCAACATAATGAGTTTGCGACCAGCATGAATTCAGACCAGCCTGCGCATCTGTGCAGTCTGATCAGGATCCATGCTGTTCGCTATCAGTTTCTCTACTTGTTAAAGGGTTTGTAAGTGAACAGCATGGATCCTGATCAGACTGCACGGATGCACAGGCTGGTCTGGATCCATGCTGGTCGCAAATGCATTATGTTGGTTTTCTCATGACATGGCTCATTTGTCAAGAAACAGATTCATCTCCCCCCTTGAAAACAAATTGCTCTAAAATTATCTCACAACAGACAAGGTAACAATGAGCATTAATTACCCATTAGGATTAATCAAATAAGGAAACTCATTTTTTATTCATGAAAACATCTGTAACTTTTACGTTTTCTTAAGGTTGCCAAGAACAACACTATGTTGATCAAATGTGTGAAGGTATCAGTGATATGGCAAAAACTCTATAAAGCAATGTGTACTAAAAGCATTTAAAATGGAAGATATTTGTTTGTGTTTAACTTCACACCAAAAAAAACCCATTGGTGGGCTACAAGTTAACCAGATTGTTTTCAGACATAACAAAACAGGGCTTTTTTTCATTTTATATCAGGGACCGTTTAAGGGTGGATTCCCCAAAGAAAAATCATGCAGTTTTCCCCAAAAATATTGAATTAACATAAAGTTTTCTCTTCCCATTTTACAAAAAATATCATATTATTTTTCCCCAAAATTAGGGAAATGGGCTATTTCTCCAGCACAGCCTGTAAAAAAAAAAGCCTTGAAAAAAAACTGTTGGTGAGGGGCAAGTGATCAATATCAAAATCAATAACCATTTTGCCACTACATACACCTATCTATCAATATAATTTTCTATGACACTATTTAAAGAAAATCTTGCTTTTATTTATAGCACATAAGTGTAAATATAAGAATTTTTTTACCTCATCCACCTGTGCTTGCGTCTGCTGCAAACGTTTGCTCTCAACATTTCTCGGTCCTCCCTCCGACCTGAAATATCCAAAATTATAAGCTCAGTTTTTCATTTGGATTTGGTCATTTACCACTATACCTCAGTGTTCCTAGAGTCTGTTCAAGTTCTGACCTCACGTCAGATGAAAAATAATCAGGATTTTTCATCATTTAAAACTGGGATAAAAACCTGCAATGCCAAGACTGAATTACTCTCTAAGTCAAAAACGACTACAGTATAGCTTTACAGCTTCTCGTAACATTGGTTTATAGAAATAAATCACTAAATGTAATTATCACATAATGTTGACAAGAAATTATTCAATGGTTTGGTTAAAAGTCACACCAGAACAGCTGCACTGTAAAGGTCTAATGGCATGTTCCCAATTTACTAGCGGATAAAGACCACAAGTGCACCTTTTAGCATAATTTCTGACAAGGACTTAGCACCTTGTTGGACAGCCTCTAGAACTGTTATCTTAACCACCTTGCCATGCATGATGTCACTTTATATAATTTTGAAAGTCATCTTAACAATATTTTCTTATTGAAGAAGCTCTGCAACTACAAAATTAATTGAATTGATTTATATAATGGTAGCTTTAATAGAGTCTATTAAGACACAATGATTTTTAACAGTATTAACCCTTTAATACAACACTAAATATCTTAAATGGACTATTTTTCAATCTTAGAAAGAAATTATTCATCATTTTAGGGAAATATTTCACAGTCAGCAAACAGTGCAGACCAGCTGGCTTATCTTGGTCTGCACTGGTCACATGGGTAGAATCTGTTACCATCAGCAGGGTAATGGTTAACAGAACTTCTGAAAATGAAAAACCTGTCATCTATGGAATACATATTGTATCAAAAATTTTCAAATGAATTACATGACAAATGATTACAAGGTTGTCCAAAAAAATATGTATCAGAATTTAAGAAAAAAAAATCAAAAGTATAATGCAATCAAGTTCAAATGTTTTTAAAAATAATGGTTGCAAGAAGAAATTTGTGATAAAAATTCACAAATTGTGAAACAAACAAAAATTGCGTCTTGAGTAAGAGATTCATATTCATGCTAAGTATGAAGAAATGTAGTTTCTGGCATTGATTTAAAGATGAAATGTTTAACATGTCAACATAATTATGCAGGAATTGAAAGTAGTAGTAGTTTAGCTAGACTGTATATGGTCTTTTTTGGATGGTCAGCTTTGCCATGAAATTATATTTTAATTTTAAAGAGACTCCACTGAGGTTTTTTTGACATGATGGGACTGGTAATAGTTTTTCGAGATTGATGTTCCATTTGATGTAGGTCTGGACCAACAACTTGTGTGCATTGAGAGTAACATTTAAAATTGTCCAATGAAAGCAGGGCTCACGCTGTCGGTCGCCATAGTCGCCATTTGCGATTATTTTATAAGATTGGCGATTATTTTTGCATTTTGGCTACAAAATCTGGCGATTATTTTTTACTTCCAACAGTGTTTATATAAGGTGTAAAAATCGATAATGAATGCAGTAGACCCAATTAACACCAGCGGGGTGCATTTAATTGAGTGTCAACTTTTTACCGGTCACGTGCTGCTAACTATATTGCCCGAGGTGATAAAATACATGCGAGATGTATAATTGTATAAGTACTTTAAAGATATTGTCCAGCATTTATAATAGCCATCAAATATCCGTCAATTAGCCACAAAAATCGTTTTAAAATTGATAAACTGGATATTGACTGACCCAAAATTTACCGTGAATTCCAGTAATTGCAAATTTTGATTTTTTTTTGTTTTAAGCTACTTGACTAAATCGCCAGTGGAAAACAATGGTAAAATATTTAAAAAGTATTAAATTCCAAACAACTATTTGCACAACAACCAAAATTGTGAATATTTCTTCAGAAAACAGGAAAAATCCAATTGTCACATATTTTCGCGACACCGATAATTTTGATATTTATTTAAAGGTGAATTTAGCTATGTTCTGTTTAAAAATCTTTACTACTATGGCAGAAAATTTGTATTACATTGGTGATGATGATATTTTTCAGTAAATTATTCAGAAAAAAGGCTGCATTCTGTGAATGAGTTTGCAAACTTGTGTTATTTCTATAGGCTAATATGACCTAGATCTACTCCAGTTCTGTGTGAAATGTGGAAATTGACAGTGGTTATAGCTGACAAAATTTGATTAGAACAAACAAAAAAAGTTGTCTGATAACAGCATTATGTAAAGTTATAATGAATCTTTAATATTATTGTTATACAGTAATTATACTAATTATAACTTTTTTTATTCTGTTCTATAATAACAATTGAAGTTGTGGTTCTATTTAAAAAAAGGTAGTTATCAATATACACAAATGTATCAGTTTATTTGAGAATCCTTATAAAACTGAAAGATATAAATGTAATGTTTATTTAATCAACTGCTTATGTTGTTAATCGCTAATTCGTGAATAGTCCGCTGAACTTTTGGCTATTATTTTTTTAAGTTGAAATTATTGGCTATTATTTTATTTGAGCCAGTGTGAGCCCTGGAAAGGGTAGATAATTCAGACATGCAACAGAGTAAAAATACTTCACTGTCATCAGTGACATTAAGGTCAAATACTGTATTGTATATCGTATACCTCAACCACTGTGCTCGCAGACTTTTGTCTTTTTCAGCAGAAGAAGTCTTGGAGATTTTACTTGCAAAAGCTGAATTCTTTGTTTGATTTGGTGGGACAGGACAATTTTTTAACATACCCCTTGTGTTTCATCTTTTATTTTTAAGATGCATGGATCCTGATCAGACTGTGCAGATGCGCAGGCTGGTCTGGATCCATGCTGGTCGCAAACCCATTATGTTGGTTTTGTCATGGCGTGGCTCATATTTTCTTGTATTTATAAGTAATTTCAAATGATTCCCTTTTGAATGAAAATACTGTGTCTAAGTAAATCAATAACATTTATGCAGACTGACAACTGGAAATTTTATGCTTCTCAACTGGGGAAAAAAACAGGTTCTGGCACCGGGAATGCCTCATTTTTATCCAAAGTAACTTGCTACATAGGGAGACATGATAAACCAGGGAGACATGATAAACCCCATCTTGCTGTACATGCAAGAAACTACATTTACCTGCCTTACAAAATGCACTCAGTACACAAATGATTTGTCATTGTACCAGCTTGATCAATAAAGTTAAACAAAGAATAAATGCAATCATTTGTCTCACTCTATTTCAATAAAAAAAATCTGGCAGTTTCACGAGATAATGTAAAACTAGGCTTATGCATTCTTAATTTTTCAATCACATAGATCAGTTTTACACTATCTCTTCAATATACAAAACAAAATACATGTAATAAAATTGTTTTCTGCAAGAGAGTAAAAAAAATATGTAAAAAAAATTATATATGTACAAATACAAATTCAAGTAGTAATTGCAGTAAAAACATCTGCATGAAAAAATCTGAATATGAAAAGTATGTGAAAACTATTGTAAAGTGCTCAAGTTCTAAGTGATCAATATAAATTTATATTATTGTTTTACATAATTGTTTTACAGACAAGGTAGACCAAAAAACACAACAATGGTCGGATATTTATTGCTCTCTAGATATAATGGACAATTAAAATGAAATAAGATAAAAATTTTGCATTTTTACATTTGACAAGTTATTACATACTTGTAAACAATTTACACTTTTATCCGAGTCAAAAGGTCTCGCTGATAAGAAATCGACCTTATCTTGTATAAGTGTTAAGTATGGAAATTTTGATTTACAAGTATAACCCTTTGACCATTAAAGATAAATATGTTTCCCAATCTGTGACACTGTTATATCATTTATCAAAACTTCCAAAAATTCATCAAACTTTTTTTTTGCGACCTTTAAAGATTCAATTATTTTATTTCTCATATTTATATGCATACATGTAGATTACTTACTCAATATTGCTTTTATAAAGACTGGTGAACTTTTACAAACTTTTGATGGATATTTCATTGGGTCAAAAATTCTGCTTACAGGCTTCTTTTGAAAACGAGCAAATATCTTACATATACCACTTGCTTTCTGAAGGCTAGCAGCTGTATTTTCATGAAATATTCGGAGTCCCGACCTGTAACCCAGTCTAATTTGAAGTCAGGGACATTTTGACTGGTCACTTGTTATTAACATATCAGCTTAATAAGACAGTAAATCAGTTTTCCTATTATAGTGAAACATAAACATACAGTATAAAGAGATAAATAAAAAAGTATATTGTTTTGTGTGATAAATAAAAATTTGCTTCAATCAACATCTATACATGCAGAAAAAAACCCTACTTACTCCATATTTCCTTCACCATTTTGTGCCCTAACAGATTGCATAAATACATAAAATGTTAGTAAGTCAATCTTTACAGTATAACAGCCACTAAGAGGGCAGGGTAGACGGGTGAAGATGGTGTTTTTACCTTTCATAACATAAGATGCTCAAAACACTACCTAGCATTTAAAGCATGTGATGGCAACTACGAATAATGTGAACACAATGTTCAATATCTTATTTAGATAGCTACAATTTTATAGGTCAGGTTTAGTCATCTGTAAAACTAAAGATTGAATTTGTAGCAAATTTAAAGCTCAAACCCTTACCTTCTCAGATGATTCTATCATAAATCAACATATGTATCAATTTGTATACAAGATGCATGTATGGGTTTCGAGTTATCCCCCCCCCCCACACACCACACACACAAACAATTATATCATGTTATCTATGATAGCCTTGAACCTACATTTCATATACACATATCATTTAAGGTTTTATACAATTCACACCTCACGAAACATCAAACTTAAGTTATCAAATAACAGTAAACAGTAAAATTATATCATCCAAACTAAGTAAACATTCAAAACAGTATTTTATATCCCCATTAACTAGAAAAATTACTTACATTTTTATTCAATACAATATATTCCTTCCAACTATCACAGAAATGTTTTATGTTTATAATACTGATATATCACAGTAAATGTTTGTAACACTGGTCAATAACACCTTAATGACTAATACATCAATGTGGATGAATCATTCTCTATTATTTACATACACTGAAAACAAAAAAATCAATCCACTGAAACTATAGGTATGTATTAATCTTTCATAACAAATTAACAGCCTTGTGTGAAATTCCAATTGCCAGATGGTTTACTTCTTCATATATTTACGCTAAGATGATAAAATGCAAATCGGCACAATATCCAACATACAAATTATCAGTTTCTGAAACATATCTGAATGTCTCTCATGGTCCTATTTCGGTGTATAGTACGAAATCATCGAGCTATGTCCGTATAACTTTTGAAACTGTCACAGTCCCGTCACCCCAACACTTGCAGATGTGCAAATCACAGAATCTGTGTCACAGCTAGCGTGGGAGGTCTCTCCGAGACAGCCAATTCTACGACTCGGATTATCATAGAGGCATTATCATATCCACATTAATATCTCCACCAACGCACAGACAACGGCTAAGATCTTGTTGCTATGACAACCATGCTTAAAATAGACATTCAATGTCCTACATAGCTGAGAAAAGACTGGGTCTATTGATCAGCCATACTGGCGAGTTTTCCCCGATACTGCAGTCGGCAACGGAGAGAGAGGGAGAGAGGAGCTGATCAATATTCCAATATAACAACTTAGCAGATTTTCCTATATTTTCCTTACCATAGTGCAAATCTTTATCCATTTATAAAAGGAGATTGCTGGTATTTATGATATTATTGAGCACTATTGTCCAAATCTAACAGTGAACAAGCCAAGCTACTCTGCAATCATTTTCTTCAATTATTTTTCAGATAAATGCTGAACAAGAACAAGTTTGGCATTGATCATGGATTATGAATGTATAAGTAAATTAAGTTGTTTTTAATCTTCTAAACTATGATAAAGTAATAAAGTATTGTCTATTTCTGACCTCACATTAAGTTTAATGATTAACACTTGAACTAAAATAATTCTGCTTCATTTTCATTTACTACGTCATGCAAGGATCCAAATTCAAGGACTGCAATGGGTTGAAGAGTTGGGATAGCGGGGAAGGGGTGATGTGGGGCTGGCATTACAATCCACATGGGGTTTTATTCATAAAATATATTATTACATCAAGGTCTGGATGATGAACTTTGCATTTTGTGAATGCAGTGTTGCACGTTCTTATAATGATTCCATTTTATTTATTTGAGGTATAATCAAAATACATGGCTTTTGATTGATAATCCAATAATAATAAGTATTCAATAAATATTAATATAATCCCTTTTCAAATGTCAGTATCAATTCAAACAACCTAATGTTATAATATGCAATTGTATATATTTAATATAAAATAGGAGACAATTATACAGATGTGACTCTCAATGACAAACTTGTGTCATGTCACAGGAACTTGAAATTCTATCAAATAACCAATATTAACCATATTATTCACCCCCCCTCAACCTGTATAGTATAAATAAACTAAATAGGGGTTATTTTTGGACATTGTCATTAATATTGGCTATTTGACAGAATTTCAAGTTCCTGTAGTTATGTAAAGTCCAAAAAATTTTTTTATAGAGGCAACAAAAATTTGGGGTAGAAGTGATTTTTTTAAATCAGGTACAAGGAGGGAAAAAAACAATATTTAGGTATAAGTAACTATATTAAGTATATCTTAAGGCCTTAAACTTCTATTAAGTAAATATATCTTAAGTATAAGTAAGGCCTTAAACTTCTATCAATCACATTTCAGCCCTATCTTTAGTACTAACCATTACTGTTGTCATATGCAGAAACATGGTTGTGACCAAAGAATGTTCGACCCCTTGATACCTGGATTGACAGGCTGACACCTTAAGCCCCATTTACACAATCCTGGTTTGGCATCCAGGTTTGTCATGGTTTAGTCCACCAGGATCAATCGTGTTAAACCGGCATAGGGCTGTAGCGATTCTGTGAAGTACAGGGACAAACCTTGGTGAACCAAGACAAACCGGGAGATCACCATGTTTGTATTAAAATGTTTTATACAACCGGGGACTTACCAGCACTCTTTGGGATGGAAGCCCAGAACCGCGTTCTATCGGTTTGGCACCGGGAATCGCCGGGAAACCACCAAATCTATTCCGCATCCATACCGTGACAAACCATAGTAAACCAAGATACGTGTTAATCAATGTCAACACACGGCAGAGCCCCGGTGATGACACAATGTCGCCACAGTAAAAACAGGCAGAGCTACAGTAGAGCCAGGGTTCATTGCAGTTATTGGTGACAACACTACAGTTGGACCAGGTATTGTTCAGATATTGCCGACAAGTCCGAGTTATACAAAGGTGACAGATGGTGGTGTCAAAACCTCATGCCGATAACAGGCAATTAAAAGAACAGGTATATATACACTTGAAGTGTTGCTTTGGATAATTTTGTTAAGTGAAGATGAAAAAGGGCCATTCTCTGCTATTTCTTCTGAGGCAAGCTTTCCTTATTGTCATTTCTAAAGGTACCTTAACTCTGTAGATGTTGTAAGCACAGTTGTCCCAACTTTCTTCCCCTTTTCTTTGGGTAGCATCATTCTGTGCTGTCTTTTTACCAAATGACTGATGTCAACGTGGTCAAGCAATTTTATTCTCAACTAGAACCGGGAAGCATCAGCGCACTACCGGGGCGTCATCGGAATGGTTCCTGCATCACCCGTAGCTTAATCCTGGCTTAATTGGCGATGGTCGGGATGGACCATGATGAAACCGTGTCTAGTCGGGTCTCCACCGAGATCAATGGGGAATACACCAGGTTAGCATCGGCACATACTGTATATATCTGGTGCTTTTTGGATACTGAACCGGGAATACACCTGGGCTCTGTCCGGGATGAGTAAACGCAATTTGATTGTTCAGAAAAACATCACAGAACACCATGGTTCGCCAGTTTAACACACCGTAGCGATACCATAACAGTGAAAATGGGGCTTTAATTAGCCACTTATCTACTAATCCTTAACTTGGATCAAAGTTGCAATTTTAGTGACTTTTGACATATCAAAAATAAGTTTTTTTGTCCTACCTTTCTTTTAATTGCTATTCATCTTTTATGTAACTTTGGGGGACACTAAGTCATTCATTTCTATCAAAGGTGTCATGATATCCTGAACTCCTGATAGTTTGGTTTAAACACTTTTATTTAAGCTTGATTCAGAAACAAGTTCTTGCAACTTATATTAATCCCTTTCAAATCTGCTGTCCAGAATGAACTAGTACTGGTGTCTTATGAAGAAACATGGTCATGATGAAATACATAAAATATTTTAAGTTAAGAAAAATCAAAATATCAAAATCACTTTGAAATGTGTGTATCTTGATATTTTTTGCTGCAAAAACATGACAGTCCGCTGTTCTGTAATCAGAATACCTTATTAAAGTGCATGTAAATGTTGCTCCCACCACTCTTTGTCATAATCCATAACAAAATTGCATTGCAAACTATAGCTGTTAAATGCATTATACATGTAGATCTACATGAGGTCTGTGTTAATTATAATTTTTCCTACTGATACTGAGTTATGTCTTATGTTAAGCTTAATTATATCTTTAATAAACTGAAGTGCAATGAATACATGTAAATGCTACATGTACAATAACATGCCTGGGCCTGATGACAGCCACTCACTCAATGTAAGTGTGACATCAAATTGATGAAATTGCAATAAAAATAAATACAGACAGGTACAGCACAATAACATGAAGCATTATTACAAAACCACTGAACATAATTTTTATTGCATTAGAACATAATATTTATGGCAGCCCTTTAAAAAATCTTGTGTTATAAAAACATGAAAAGACAAAGGCAATCATGTATTTCTTTCCTTCAGTTTGTGTCATAATTATGTAACTTTTGAAACAAATATCTATGTTATATCTTTTTTTCAAATATACTGTATTACTTTTCAAGTCGTGAAATTGACTTCAGCTTATTTAATGTAAATGTGATGAGACTAAAATTAAGTGCTGATCAAAGCAAGAATACAATGCAAGGGTCTGGCCCTCCCAATAAAGCCCAGAATCATCCTACAGGTATCCCATACATGTCTGACTGACTGCTGAAAGAGAAAGTCTGTCAAGTCTGACAGCAACACTGGCGAAATTCTCATGAATTTGTATGACTGGATTTACTTATTTTACAATTAATTATATGGCCGATTGGCGATGGATAACTCCATTCATATCATTTTGCTATTATTTTCAAATATAATAACTAATTAAGCAGCAAAACATGTTGAATAATTAAGAGAAAAAACCTAACTAAGTAGATAATATTAGATTCTATGACAAACTGGAAAACAATGCAATATTATGTTTTGTTTTGTTTTGGGTTTTACGTCACATCGACACAGTTTAGGTCATATCGCGACGTTCCAGCTTTACTGGTGGAGGAAGACCTCAGGTGCCCTTCCGTGCATTATTTCAGGCACGAACGGGCACCTCAGGGTTCCCACTGTCGCTCGCCAATGGCGCCAAATGCGACAAAATATTAATTCTGGCGCATAAAATCTTTAATTGGCGAATTTAACTGGCGCCAACGTAAGATAAAAGCATCCGACAACTAGTACACTTAAATGTCATAAGCGGCCGAGTCAATTACATAAGCAGCCTAAATGTGAAAGGTCACGCACTATTAGTTTGTTTATCAAACTGTATAATCGGGTACCGTATAATCAATTATGTCATCAATTGTGTGACACTTCGGGAACATGTGAAGATGAAAGTGTCAATGTGTTAATTGGAACAATTTACGTCTTTCATTCTCTGACTTGGAGCACTGATAATAACATGTGTGGTCAACAGGTGTTAGTAGCTAACATTATGAGAAGGGAATGATCGTCTGTTATGTTGACAAACATTGAACTTTAGGTAAGGCCTAAAAAAAAAAATTGTTTTGTTAGGGTAACATGCTCTCAAGGAATAGGTAGGGTAGGTCAGAATTTTTTTTTATTTATTTTTTTTTTTTCACCAGTATATTGAAATTTAGGTATGGAAATTTCTGACATCCCTCCCGGGTGGCACAAATACATCCCTTCTATGTTTTCAAAAGACATTTCAGGTGTAACAATCTTAAACTCTCAGCGTTCTTCTGGTGAAGATCACACGCCGTTTTACAAATATTGACGATGTGTATTGTAACTAAGAGCGGCGATAAAACATGTACCGTACCCAGGGCTCATCCTGGGGGGAAATTTTAGGGAGAAGTGACTTCCTCGTGAAAAAAATCAGCAGAAGGGAAACATCCCAATGTGTATGCATTAACATGCATGGCTATACATCCTTTAACTAGAATAGAAACACAATCTATTTATCAGCTATTTATAAGCTTTCTCATATATTTTTGATAATAATGTGTAAGAAAACTATGATGAATAAATTAACTTTATATTTTTACTTTCCTCACTTTTAACAGAAGATACATTGGATAATGATTAATAAAATCTGTCTA